TTCTTTCTTTTTTTGCTTTAACTCACCAGTCTCACATGTTTTATTTATACGTTTTCTTGCGGTTTATATATTCATTATATCATATATTATGATATTATATCAGTCAATTTCGGTGGAAACGGTAGTTAAAGTAGAAGCAAAAGCTGGACTGTTGGCGGTAGCTTTTTGCGACGGTAATTTGTCATACACGAGGGCAATCATTAGCGCTGCGCCTTGGCAAAGTTGCCGCTGCCGTACGCCACCTCTACTAAAATAACTTTTTAAGTGATATTTTTACAAACGAGCGAGACTAGACCCTTAGTCCGCCAACGATCTCCACTTTAATTCACTTTAGGTACGCCAGTTCCGGCTATTTCCGGATGGTTTTTGCTTGTTTTAAAGTGTTCTCTGATATTTAGCGTTCATGTAAAAGCCAAATATTATACTAGCTTTTCGCCCGCGACTCCGCGTTGAAGCCCTTTAATAAATATCTTTATTTTAAATACATTTTCTTAATAAAAAGAGTAAGTAAAGAGTTTTTAAAACCTCTAAAAATATGTGTACAAAGTTTAATCATAAGCGGTTGAGTAGTGAGAGTAGTTGGCCTGAAAGAGTAACAAACAAACTTACATTCACATTTATAATATTAGTAGGGATTGTTTTATAAATGTGTGCTAATAACCAAATAAGAGAAATAAACAGAGATAATACAATCATCAGCATTACCTCCCAGTCAACCTTGGAGTGGTCCAGAAAAGTATGCATTTATGTTAAATTAAAAAAGCAATCATAACAATTTTTAGTATCTACATTGTACGTAGTTATATACCTACTAACAAAATACTACTACTTTAATAATGATAATAATAATAAAGGTTTATTGTAACAAATGGTAGAGAACAAAAACATCATTTTACAGTATTAAACACAATAAGTACATTTTCAAATCCTATTCACATATGCATAGTGAACCCTTCACTAGGTTAGCAACCTGTTTGGCAGGGGTCAAATTTTCGATTAGCTTTATTTTATATCTATATATTTCAGGTTATTGGTTTCATTTTTGTTTAAAATTTATTATAAGAATAATTTATAATAATGAACACGTAATCAGTGAAACGATTCAATGCGTCACTGTCCCGAGCGTGACGACCGTCAACGAACAGAGCGTGACGGTTCACTTTCATTAGTTTGTCAGAAACAATTATGCACTAAATGTCCTAAGTTTTCTAGACTCTTCTATACCGTACTCATGTCACACATTCGTAAACTAATTTATTATTACGTTAAAAATGTTTTTACGGGCTTAGCATTAAAATATAAACAAACAAACAACCACAAATATTGGCAAGCAATAAAGCGCGAGGTTTATTACTGACAGCCCTTTCACCGATAACACGATAAACAACATTTACCACCTGAAACAATGTATTATATTGTTAATATAAACTATGTGACGCCAATATATTCAATACGTGTCAAAATAGACCCCCAGTGACTGATAGCATGATAAAACATAACGAATAGGGCAAATAAAGCTGCCTCGCTTGAGGTTTACTTAGACATCTCAGCGTTTACCAGAAGCGTATACTTAAAGTTTTGCAACACGTATAATATGATACCTCTGAAACAACTGAGCGCTTATATCAACAACTGTAATGTTATTAAATTAATAATGTTTTAAGTTTTTTTGTTTGTTAATACATCCTTTTTATGTTTCCATTTCAAATTCTCTAAAAGATTTCGCATTGCAGATTGTAAACAAGAATACAATAAAAAATATTGACTGAAAATATTTTATTTTCTTTGAAAAACTTCTTTACTTAGATCTCTCAACAAATAACAACATATAAAAATAATTAACAACTATAGGCAGTTGGGTTGGGTCTTAACAATTGTGTACTTAAATTCACTTTCTTAAGACGCGCATTTACATCTCAAGGACGTGTAGGCTTTATTCATAGATTTAGAATAAAACGCAAGCAAAAGGTTGCTATTTCTCTTTAATATAAATAATATTAATAATGTGCGTAGTGTAATTGTTATTATAAATTGAAACAACAAATTACGAATATGCCCATTCATTAAACTTTGAAATTCTTAAAGTTTAAAAAAAGACTGGCAGCATTTTTCTTGAAAGAAAATGTAAACGTTTCCCAAATAATAAACGACTACTGACTACCTCTTGGCATCCGCAACATTAGTGGAGGTGCAATTTCGTGGAGGTGTGTTACGGCCACCAGTGTTAGGGCCTATTTGTATGTACATACATATAAAAACAGATACATTATTGACATTAGTAAAAATACATACGTTTACTATACGCAGTGTAATTAATGATAATTACCTCATAATAATTTCCCTCGTCTGTAATACATTCTAGGAGATAAGCATTGTAACTCAGCGGAGTAGAAAATTATTCGGATATTGATAGCGGGTTCTCACGTACAGATAATGGGTAAACGGTTCAGATTGGTAGGGCGCGATATAACACGGGCGACGGGCTGCTTCCACTAACTGAATTAATTGCTCCCGAATTCAAATGTTCAAGACATATTAGCGAAGGTATTAATCGTGTACGTTACCCATAGGTCATTAATTTTATAAACATTATCTCAAAGTTGATAATAAAGCTATGATATCAAAATATTTTCTTAATTAATAAAACTGAATATCTGAACAACAATATGAAAACATAGTATAACTAGCTGATCCGGCAAACGTTGTATAAACGTGTATATATATAATAGTCAAGTATTTGTGAAACCACAGACAATTGTTCTGGGTCTGGGTATTTGTTTCCCAGGGAACGTTGATGTCAGACAGGCGGACGGTCGTAAAAAATATAGCCAAATCCACTTACAATCACATGTTGTGGCGTCCTAACCTAGTTGGGATAAGGGCAGGCGGATGATGATATTTTTTTTTATGTGACTAGTTGCCAAGCGAGCAGGTGGTTCACCTGATCTAAAGTGAATACCGCCGCTCATGGACATATGCTACACCCGAGGATTGCAGATGCGTTGACAACCGTTTGTAAATTGGACTCCGGCTACCTCACTCACCAGACGAAACTAAGAAGTATTATGCTTCCACTTCCCGCCGGTCTTCTGTTAGGTCGTTGTACCCTCCCGGACGAGCCTGCCCATTCGTGCAATTGCCGAGGCTGCTGCGTGGCTCTACCACAGTCAAAACTTTGTCACATAAAAAAACTATAAAATCAATATTATTTCCAATCCAATGTTAAGATTAGACAACGAACAAACAATTAAAATTAAGTAGTGTTGTTAATTAGTAAAATTAGTAAAGTAACGAGAAGCTGTATTCCTAGATTTCATTTTATCACAGATAAATCAATTATTTTTGTAAGTAACTTTATAAAATCTAATGTAATTTTAGCTTATTAATTATATGAACCTCACTAAATATATGATTAAGGTGTGATCTCATAATTATTATAATTTTTTATGGAGATAAAATCACATGAATTTATTTATATTAATTTATATATTTATTTATAAGTGTTTTAGCAATATACCTACTGTGCGGATCTAGTACCAACGTACTAGCTCCGCTGTATTACTGGATCTGTTTTTCCGGATGGCAATACCGAGTTCTGGGGTAACAACCATAAAAAATACAGTCGAATTGAAAAGTTAAAAGATATGTGTTTATTCTATGGTGAGCAAAACGTACTGGAAGCCCGTTGATTTGCTTTACTAGGAATCTAAACGTATACATAATCAAATGCGATAATATTTTCCATCGCACCTTTGATAGGCTACCAATGCAAGTTGTTTCAAATTAAACATTTTTGTGTTATTTACAGAATTTTTTTCCCTTTATTTAAAGAAAACTATCATTGCCAAATTAAATGACTCGGGAACAACGGATACTACCCTACAGGTTTGAATAGTTAACAAGTATTAACTGTTAACTAGAGATTAACTGTTAACTCAAGAGTTCGTTGCATATTTATTCAACAAATCTTATACTGTTTCATACATATACAAACTGTACCGTAACGTAATTAACGACAATCCCAACAGTAGCATAAGTAAATAGAGCAAAATATAACCATAAATATAGGCAGCGTGTATTTGTCTTGAACTTATATTTATCAGTATCTCTTGAGCACTATCTACAGTAACACTAAATGTTTAATGATCGGGCACCTTCAAAACGCAGTTGGTTTTATAAATCTGCTCTTCCTTATTTTAATTTAAGTAATATAAGTGTTGTCAATGCCTCGTTTATACTTCTCGTTAAAACATAGTTGTAATCAGTATTCTTTACGATGAACTAATTCATACTTATACCTACGTATGTTCATATATTTACATACTCAGTGTTAGGCGATAGTGGCCAAGTATCTAGTGCCATCTACTCTTAACCTGTGATCGCGTGAACAGTTGTAAACGAACAAAATTTGATTTCTTATGTTACACATATTAGAAATCAAAATTTTTACCAAAAAAAAGTGTTCGGAAAAGGTTTGACCATCCAAACTTTCCTAGATTGATGAAAATTGAATGAATCAAAATCTCGTCCATTAGGGCATTTTACTGTAAAATTTTGTACATCGGTTATTTGTGTAACTTATTTTTCAAATCTAATCCAATCAGCCTTTTGCAGTACACTGCTGGACATAGGCTTCCCCAAGGGCACACTACGGAGCACGATCTTCCACATTCCTCATCTGGCCACAGCTGAGATATTCGCCATTGATGTTATATCAATACCAATCATTTTTATAAGAATATTGTAATTAAAATATACACTTCTATCAATATATTTTTCTTTGGAAAAACACTTCTTGGACTCGATCACTTTCCTTGATACATAAACATGAATACTTCATAACAGTCCTTGAGTCATTTCCTATACGAACATAAATTGATTAGGAGAAAAAAAAAATACCTTTCCGTTTATTTTCTTTTTCAATCATTGTGTTCCCGACAGTAAGCTGACAATACAATTATCATTCACAAGCAGGAAACTCATTCGCAGAATCTTTTCAGGCGGTGCTTGTGCGAGCGGCTACCGACTCTTTATGGAAGGATGGGACCTCGGAACAAGATAAGAAAATTGCTGCACAGCATGCCAACATTATCGTGATTGCTATTTTGCTTATGACGACATTGGGTTCCGGTCTTACGACGATTTTAGGACCAATTTTATTATCACAAGATTCTAAAATAAGGGACAGTGGTTAGTGTTTTTTTATCAAAGTTAGGAAGAAAATTATTTTTATTCCTCTGTTATTGTTCTGTATGTCTTATCAAATTTTTGGGTCTCTTTCATAAAATCAAATTTAATTGTCTTATGTTTCTCTTACAGATTTTCATAACTCTGCAAGCATACCTCCACTTCATTCTTACGATGTCACGAGGCGAAAGAATACAAGTACTTCTGTACATTTCATAGACCCTTGAAAAATATTTTTTTCGATACCATGTACAGTGTTAAATAATGTTGATATTACTTTATTTAAATAATAGTTCAGACAACGCCCTTATTTCTATAGCATAAATAAAGATTTTATTTATATAGTGTCGTAATTTAATAATGAAATATCATCGCTCGGAGATGCCATGTACATTTTCGATCCCCACACCTTGTAGCCCAGCACTGCCGACCATGTATTTAAAAACGAAAAATAGACGAACAAAATTATTCAGTTATCCCTTATTGTCAATATAGTGTGAACAAATGACATATAGCAACATGTTTAAATAGATAAGTGATCTTTCATAAACGCTCACGTATTTTTTATAATTCAATAGTAATTATTTACTTCTTATTATTAAGAAGCATATGTTTAATCAATCACATCAAAATACTTATGCAATATCAATAGGATACCATTTCCTTTGCTTTTCTTGAATTTTTTTAATATTTTGCGTTGGGAAAAATTTGAGAAAATTAAAACAAAAAATATTTATTCATCAACATTTCCAAATTCGCTATAAATTTCCTGCTTTGAGAACTAAACTCACTATATGTTTTTTATATGTAAATTTTTAAAGTGAGTCGGATCCCATATTGTTAAGTGATTACCACCGCCCATAGTCTACAGCACCTGATGGGTTGCAGATGAGAAGTTTATATAGTTTTTATGATAATGTTACAATCGTTACCGCAATTCCTTTCGAGTTATCCATTCATCTTTTACCTAGCCAAAGATGACCATAGTTTCTATTCGTAATTACATTTCTTAAAACTCTGGTACTGTAACTCGCAAATAGATCCAAACTACATAACTAGTTACAATTATTCTAATACTATACGTAATACTTATAAATATAATAGCATCAACCGAACAACACGATATTAAGTTCCATAAATGATACATGAACAAATATCAACTTTTCACAAAGGCAAAACAAAATTCGCCTGTAACAAATTTCAATCACATGATTTCGATAACACAAAATATAAAAGCAAGGCATAAAATGCCGAAATCTTTGTGTAAATAAAACGAAAAAGCGTAAATATATCAAAATGTTTCTAATGGTAGAAGAAATCAAATATTAAGATGTTTTTAGGAGTCGGAATAGAAAAAGAGTTGAGTGTTATTTATTGAGCATGGATAATTCGTTGTTTCTAACGCTTTAGCTTGCCATGAAACTTAATGTTAATATGGCATTTATTGATTTGGGTCGTGACGTAATCTGCCTCTAAATATTTCGTGGCGCCCGCGAGGTCTGCTCAAGAACAACCGTTGATCATTTTATTTATCGGATTTAGTTACTCTGGACGACGTCTTGTAATGTCTTGCTCTTGGTGTATGCGCAAAGTCAATGGGTTATTTATTTCATGGATCCAGATAGTTTTGTTTATTTTGTAATTCAAATGTGTCAGCAGTTAAATTTTACCAATTGTTCTTAGTTCAAAATAATAAATGTAAGTCTAATATTCTTTAATTTTCACTTTTTATTTGTGTATTTTATTTATTCTTATAGTCCGTTGTTTGAATAAGAAACAAAAATTATGCATAAGAATTAAAATAAAATTATGCATTTAATAATATAGATACGTCATAATAAATAACAAAAATAATTGATTTGCATAGTTTTATAAATAAGGTCTCATTTATTTTTAGAAAATTAAGAGTATAGTTGCTATAACTCTGTCTTCACGTTTTTTTTTTTCGTTTTTGTACATTTTTGTACATAAGTCAAATTGCCAATGAATTATTGTTCAAAATTAAAAAATTTTATTCAAACATTAGAAACCTTTATTTTTTCAAATATTAGAGGCTAGATAGAACGTATGATTGTGTTTAGATATTATTATTAGTTTATGATGTTATGAATGTTACTTTTGCGAACTTGTTAATAAACCTCGAAACTATTTTATGCAACCATATTAAAAAGAATCACATTAAAATAGGAGAGAAGAATAAATTATAATTCAGCATATGTGTTCCATTGGTGAATAATTAAAATGAATGGTTCCAAACAATTACAGATGTTTACCGAAGCAACAATTTCTTCAAGAGCAATATGTTACGAGACGGAATCTAACTCGTTTAACGCAAGTAAATATAATATATTTGAATAAGACATTGAACATTTGTAAAAGACAATTTTAATAAGTCTAACTTTGTAGTTCAAGGTGCAGAAATGAAACTTGACAAACGCATCTACGACAAACATCATAAAAAGGAAGCGAAAACGTAAGTAAGTACAGACACCTTTATTTGATCAAAGACTATTTTTATTATCATGCGTATCTTTATAATGTCATTAATAGCGCGTGTTCCTCTATTATAATAAATCAAAGTCTAATGGAGGAACACTACAGATTATTAGTCGGAAGAGCAAGTAAGAGGAAAACGTACGACATTATGCAGTCCACTTCGTGAGTGATGGTTTTATATCAGTGCAAAAAAAAATGTAAACTATTATAAAAAACAACAAATCATATTTACAGATTACCCGAATCTTCGGAAAACGTAACAAGTGACAAAGTTATCCCGCAAAATATTCTTGTAAAAGAAAAATCATGGTGGACAGCTATCAAATTAGACTTTGTACATTATTTAACTCTAGTTGTTATTGGTAAGTACTGTTGTTCTATTATATCTCTAATATGGTAAAACTAAAATATGATAATTTTATGTTATGTTTTCATATATTTATTTTTATTAATTTTCTTTTCATAATAACACTAAGAATATTTTAGAGCTGTTTGTACGTTAGGGAGTTTACTTTTTAATTTTCGAATTTGTTTTGTATGGTGTCGAAGTCTGTTCTAACGAAAAATATTTATAATTGAAATCATTTTATAAATAGGTATATGGTTACTTAATTCCTAATAATAATTAAAAGGGGAATTCAATATAAAAATGAGGAAAGGATAAAAATTTGCATGGCAACGGAAATGCTTGCTCATATTCATTACTGATATCCACTTTTTCCATCATATAGGTATTTTAACATGGGGTTTGCTATGGTCTGCTTTTGGTAATAACTGGAGATGGGATGGTCCGTGGTTCCGAATCGCGGCGGTAGCTGTGGTGGCTTGGGGTTCTGGTCTTCTCTTCCAAGAACTAACGACTTTACCACCCCTCCTAGCTGCGCTGCTAACCGGTATTTTTGCCCGGCATTTTGGGATCCTTGATATGCGACACCATATAAATATCGATGCATTTTTAAGGTGACTATCATTATTATGTCTTTTAATAATAACCTCAGGAACAGCACTAACTCGTGAGTCGATATTTGTATTTAAAGTTTTTAATATTATAAGAGTTTGATTTTATTTACAACTGTGACAAAATGTGAAAAGAAAATATCTAAAACTCAATCGCAAAAAGTCCTTGAATTCATTTCTCCATTACACATTTCTAAATAACCCCCGGTAAATAATAACGAAGTAAGAATGTTAGTAATATTTTTATAATTCTCATATTTATAAGACATTATTTATTACTAACATTGTTTTTTTTTTTTTTTTTTTTTCATTTTTGGACAGAAAAATTTACCCAGTCATTATCCTGGGTAAGGCATCATTAGCATGGGACATCAATTACATGAAAAGCAATTGGAGACAAGTGGTAGCGTTAGGCACCGTACCATGGGCAGTGGAAGTGACCACAACAGCAATATGCTCCCACTATTTTCTTGACTTCCCTTGGTTGTGGGGTAAGTAATGCAGCGTTAATATTTAGAACGTGTCCCTCTTTTATTGAGAAATTGTTTTGTTTAATAATGGCCGTGAACCACTGCCTTGGTCAAATTTTATTACTATTACTATTTAAAAGAAAGTATACCATAGAACATACGTCGTTTAGTGATAGCAATTGCAAAAAATTGCAATCAATCATTATTGATATCAAAAAGACTACTTAATTATATTATAAAAGGACGATAATGAAATCTATATAGAGATATATGATCTGACATCATGCAAAAGAGACACGTTGTGCCCAGCTGTGGGATATATGGATAGGCTTTTACTGAATACTACTTATTAATTAACGTAATAGTAAGTCTAAAAATAAACTAATTAAAAATGGAGTAGTGTAAAGTTTCGGCTAAAGTCAAATTGAGTAGAATCCGCGGGCGGAGCCGGGGCATAATGCCAACCTAATTCTAACGTAAACCTCTGAGCGTCAGAGATAAGTAAAATAAAGAGTTTAAACTAAACAACTCCAGTAAACGTATTTTATGATTCTTGGCTTAAAGACTTTTAAAGAGAATTTATAAATTACGTTTCAAAGATATGTTTATTCATGAAAACTCTGTTTCAAACTAATAACTTACATTGAAATTGAAGGAAGTTTGTCGCTTAAGGATAGTCCTTGGTTCATTTCTTTCATTTATGTTAAGCTAAAATGAAGGTATATACTATAATGCCGAAAATATTCATTAAAGAGTATAGTGATGACCTAATGTCTCAGGCTCCACCAACTATTTCACGTGATCGAATATCAGATACATTCAATAACTTTCAAACTTAGGATTGGTCCTTTGTAAAAATTACTATACAACATTTATATGTTGTATAGTAATTGTTGCACAGGTATAAACCTTACATAAAACGACAAAAGTCACATTTATGGCTAAATAAGCTCCTTGAAAAGTTTATAGCACTCTTTATACCTCACGAACCTCAAATTGTCTTTGGTGTATACATGTAATTGTAAGTATTCCAAAATTACAGTTCTATATACATTCTGCTAATATAAAAATAAAGTAGGTAGAACTCATTATATTATAAGAATCGCATTGTTCATAGCTTAAATACTTATGCTATGAAAAAATATGTAGGACTATAATATTTAGGACCCTTGTATCTTCTGTACAAAGGGCCCAGCAGTCAACCTTGTACAGGGGGTCTTACGTGACATTTTTTACTTTAAGAATTCTTTTGCAATTTTAATTTTGTATAAGAGTTTTTCATAACTATTGTAAAAAAAATCATTACCACGTTTTATTCAATGCGAAATACTGCGATACGCTGCTGCGATCACTACCGCACCGAATATAATAAAATTTGTCACGAACGCCCCGACAATGGGGCGCGGTGTGGTCTCAGTACAAAGCCGATTCAATAAATTCCGGTATAGAACGGACTATGAAAGATTTGAATGCATTTCAACCGCATGACGTGCACACCTAAGCTCAAGGAGGAAATGGCGTTTTAACCTCAGTGAATTATATTATTTAGAAATGCTTGTTCTCTATATAATATGCGTAATTATTTATGAAAACGTTATCACATTATCATCCTTGGAATATTATGCCATAATGAGACTGAAGTCATATTACAGCAATGCAATATGATACAGACTAGTATGTATTTCGATGAGGACCACAATGTTTATATCTAAATGTAAATATGTATAGGACACAGACATTGATATTCGCACTGTATTATTCGTATACCTGAATTTCTTTACGAATAAAAAAACTGGAAATTTTCATCAAAATAGTTTCAATAATTCAGGCTAAAATTAACACAACCGATAAATATTTAGAAGTTTTACTAGATATCAACTGCGATTAGGAGTAGATTGGTTTCAAATCTTTCGCCTTACAAACACTTACTAAAAAAGTTTTAAATCATCGAGAGGGAAATTTGAAACGGCATTTAATACAGAATAGGAACTCAATGAAACTTCCAATAGATAACCCTAGACTCACGCATAGTTATAGCATGCTACTGTCTCTATATCGTCCTCGTCTACGGAAATAGCCACTAACATACCACTTACGCGAGGAATTACCGCGTTTTAAGATATATTAAACAGTTTTATCCGTGTACCCGGAGCCCTCCGCTGGCCATTTTGTTTTGATCGATTATAATGAAAAATCACATTTTTATCACAATATAAGCCGTGACAGCTCAGTCTCCGGCGCTCGGCTTTTAATTTAATATAGGTACTCAATTGTTAAATTTAAGTGAACTTAACGTACTCCCTGAAGTACTTTGAAAATTTGTGAAGTCCGTTAATCTCTGTATAGAGTAGACTCTACCAATAGAGAGGATCCGTAACTCTACCAATAGAGTCGCAACAAGATCGTGGAAAATGTAGCAGTACTTTACCTCAATGAAACGTCACACTCCTAGCCTGAGACCAAAAACAACACGTAAGGGGAAGGAACCTATTTACTCCCAAAATTTACATCTCAAGAGTCTCAACTGGGACAGACGCAACACTTTTTTTTTTGCAAAAAAATCTCGAGAAACCGCAAAGCATACCACTGAGGTTCAAACCGGTGACAATTCACCCAACAACCCATTGCTGAACGTGCTACAAATGGAAGTACGCTTTCTTTTTCACTTCTACGAAACTTTACATAGTCTTTAAAACTGCAAGCGAAATCTCTATATTAAATCTAGACAAGCAATTTATAAGACATCGGGTCGAAATAATCAAAAACTCTGCTATTGTTTTATATGCAGTTATGTAATTTATTAAGAAAAGTTTGAGATGCAGTTAATGATTCATTGACAAAAGTACCCAAATGCATTTGTTTTCGCTCTTTTTGTATAAAATTTTTCTTTAATCTTCGTGTATACTATTTATCATTGCGCCAATATATGAAAAATATTTCTTCATGAACTCATATCCTCATTCTTTTTCAAGAACACATCATAGGTATTAAATGGGCTTGATTAATTACTGACTACAATTGAACTACTTGCGCGTCTGTCGATCTCATTCTATAAATAAACCTAAAAGTAAACGTTGGCTTCATGTTTTAAAAAAATGATTCTATCAAAAGAGTTTTAAAATAAGGCCAGTTATTGTCATGGTTTAATTAAATTTACACTTTCACTAAGTATTTTCCCAACAATACTCAAGTCATGAGTTTATACTACAAAAAGCTTTATTATTATTATATTTAAGTCAATAAGCTTTATACTACAAAAAAATATTCAATAGAAGCTACACTAGGCATATAGATTCTACGACTATTATTGTTTTATTATTAGACTCTTTAAAATATCAGTACAAATTAAATTTTTACTCTTTCTAATAATTACCACGTTTATCGCTAATAAACTAAGCGGTAACACGTTCTGAAACGAGACAGGTCGTTAAATTCGTTAGAGAAATGTGCGACTAATCATAATCAACGTGCAGGTTTCATGCTGGGCTCGATCTACGCTTCGGTGTCATGCGCAGTTATAATGCCCCCTGTGCAAAGGCACACCAAAGATGCGGACAGAACACAGAACTGGCCGCAACTAATCTGCACCGCCGGTGGCACGGATACGGCGCTCAGCGTGGGGGTTTACGGCCTCATTCACAGCTTCATGTTCACAGACGCCATCGACCTGTATCGTTATATCAAAGTAAGGATATTACCACATTCGCCCAAATTTGTAAATCCAGTCTCCACGTTACTCTTTTCAATTGCATAATTATCTACTTGTCGTATCTATTAAAGCAAGTAAATTGATTAACAACTAGGAATGTTTTGTAAAGTATTTCAGTTATTAGACTAGTATGGTTTCCAATTTATTTATATTCACAATGAAGATATTTAATAATGATAAATCTGAAGTGTGATGATTGTAAGAGCGTGTCATGTCAGCTTTTGGATTTTACCATTAAATCGATGACTGATGACTAGTATGTATTACATGTACGTTACTCCAAAAAACTCTTGATCATTTTGAGGAGCCCTAAATTTAGGAGTAGGCTTGAACATAATAAATTTATAAATATTAATATATATTAATCATTTAAAATGATGACGCATGACATTTTCTTCATCATTCATCTCCTACCATGTATATATTATCATGGTAACCATTATTGTTAAAACATTCAACAGATATATACAAAAGTCATTTTGAATACCAACTAAAAAGTGACGCAACTTGAAAAATCTACACAAGTAAATGTTAATGTTGTCTAGTCCGTTATTAAATTTGCATGTTATACGCTTCACGAAGATAAAGTTGCAAAAGTTTTTTTTACAAAATAAACGGCATACAGGCCGGGCTGACTTTATTCGCGGGAGCGGGTCTAGGCGTCATCTGGGGCAGCCTGGCGAAGCTCTTCCCACACTCGGCCGACAGCTACGTTACCGAGTTGCGAATTTTGTTCGTACTCGTAGGCGGTCTCTTGGCCAACTTTTTTACGTCTGCAGTAGGCTGGGGCGGTACTGGTGAGCCATGTTTTTGTGTATAAAATTTTATGCCGTTTCATATAGAGAATAATACACATTTGCTTGAATTTCGAATAGAATCGTGTTTTAACATCTGTATCATATATCACTGTGCTTATTAACAACTAGCTGTGCCCGCGACTTCGTCCGTGGAATTTAAAATAAAAAAAAATCTAAAATAAAAGTAGCCTAAGTTACTCCTTATTACATCAGCAATCTGTCAGTGAAAGTCCTGTCCAAATCGGTCAAGCCGTTTCGCAGATTAGCCGGAACAAACAGACACACAGATAGATAAAAATTGTTAAAAATGTTATTTTGGTATATGTACCGTGTATACATCCATATGCATTTAGTAAAAAATGGTTATTTTAATATTACAAACAGACACTCCAATTTTATTTATCTGTATAGATGAAATCCGCGAAAGACATAGTTATTGTATTAATTACGTAAAATGTTGTTCGTCTTGATTATTGATTATAACTTTAAAATTTAAACCTTAAGACCTTAAAAAAATTACAGAATAAGAAGCTAATAATTTTAGTAACAATTAAGCAATAATTAAATCTCCCCGAACAAAGATATCATTTAAAATTATTGAAGGAAATCTCTTACTTATGGCAATTCTGAATTTTGAATGTAAACGATGTCTCAATTTCTTGATTTTAATTCAGGAGGAGTCGCAGTGCTGGCATGCAATGCAACGGCTGCAAAGTACTGGTCGGAAAAAGGTTGGAAATTAAATCAGAACCCGGCGTCCACAGCATATCGTGTGTTGTGGTCTGCATGTGAACCAATGTTGTTCGCGTACACCGGTACCTTCTTCGTGGTGAGTGTTCCTAACTTATATCTTCACTACATAGAATAATTATTAAATATTCACTAAATAAATAAAACAAAGTCGTCCCGCTGTCTGTCTGTCCCTATACATGCTTAGATTTTTAAAACTATACAATGGATCTTGATGCGGTTTTTTTTTTCACTAGATAGAGTGATAGAGGAAGGTTTATATGTATAATACATTGCAGCCATGCGAAGCCGGGGCGGGTGGCTAGTAATTTATAAACAAACATTTCCAAAAAGGGTTGAACGATATAGATTTTTTTTATTTCCTCTATAAATCTTTAGACGAAATATTAATTTCAATTTCAATTGAAGAGATTAAGGAACGGCTTTTTCAATCTATAATGTTTTTTTTATTTTACTTTTTTAGAGCAGATACACCATCAACACAATCATTTTACAAATATATTACGAGTTAGTCAGGTATTCTACTAGTCAATGACTAGGTTTTAAGGATGTATACAAAAAATTGTATATGAACTATGAGTATCTATCAAAGTAACGAAGTTATCATTTATAATAAACTAGTATAAAAATATAAAAAGGTTATGCAACATACAAAAGTATAAACACTTACTTTTTTAAGTCATAGGACAGTTTTTTAATATTACTTAAACAGATTTTATTTGCCTTTAGCTATATATTTCAATTTTCACTATACTAAAATAAAGAGTATCTTTTTAAACAGTTGTTTTTTCGTTTTCAGACCAAAAAAATTTTTAATACCGTGGTCCATTTCTGCATCATGCCTTCAGAGGAAAATTTCACTGTCTTGGCTTTATCATACTTAAACTATTATCTCGTATTTTTACAGATTCATACTACGCTATCAGACACGATGATTAAAGGATTTGGAATACTCGTTATAACTCTGACAACGAGACTATTAACCACCGCTCTAGTGTGTTGGAACCTTTCGATGAAAGAAAAACTATTCATATGTTGCACTTGGATACCCAAATCTATCGTTGAGGTAAATATTTTTCATAGTTCTTGCATTTATTGAAAATTTTTGCATACTAGGTGTAGTTAATAGGCAGTAATAGCATTTTGTAAAAAAAAGGAATATGTGTATGTTGCCGCCTTATAATAAAGTGGGACCTGGCTACCTTACTCACCAGACGAAACGCTGAAGTTAAAACATTTCCACTTCAAGCCGGTCTTTTATGAGGTCGTGGTACTTACCCGGACGGACCTGTCCATTTATGCAATAGCAAAAAATATTGCGTGGGGCCCTACCACATTTAAATTTAATCTATTATTTCTATCGTATTAAACTTGCGTTATGTACTATATTATTGTATTATAGACTATCCTATATCGTATTATTTTATTAATCTATTGCTTACTAGTCTACTTATTCTCAAAGTATGATTTTCTGCGCCTTTTCAAACGTTCAAATTTAAAAATAGGATGGTCTTGGTTAACAACTTAATGTTTTAACATTCCAACGTAAATTCTCTGCAAAACTTCAGTAACATTTCCTGCTCAGAACAAATGTTTCCCGGCTTACAACAAATAGCTATCTGTCAGCCTCCAGACACTCTTTAAAGATAAAAAAGAATGAGAAACTAAGAAACAATAGGAAGAAATAGAGGGAGAAATTTTGTTATGCCTTATAAAATAACAGCTGTCTTGAAACTAACAAAAGATTCCCATAGAATTATTTTCTTAGAATTAATGAACTATTGTGTGTATAATTGTTCGAAAACTACTATGAATTAATATAATTGCCATCGTAATTCGCCGTATATGAATAATTGGTTCCAGTAATTCCTTTGGGACAATGGCGACATGAGACAGAAGTTCATTATAATTAATCTCGTCGAAATATCCCGCGTGCAATGTCAGACACCTTGTTAAGCTAATGACTCCTAAGTTGTGCGAGTAGAAGCAACTACAAAAACCTTTTTAAAAAACTCCACATGTTATATAATATGTAAAACGTTAAACTGGTATGCTTACACAAACGAAATAATTTAAATATATTTTTAAATGCAGGCTTGTTAAATTGGAAATAAATAATCATAAAAATTCAATGAAAGCGCCAATGAAATTACGTAAATACAAGAAAAATGACATTTGAATCTAATATACTCGAGCAACCTGATATCAATCCCCGGTATATAAAATTAAAAATTTTATTGGTGCCCGCACCAATGAAATTTTTCATTTTAAATGCTAATTTATTAAGTGCTCAGCGGTGTAAGAAAACATCATGAGGAATCTTACATGTTCTCAAAATTAAAAAAAAATATTTCTAAAATTTGTGATGTCCATCAATCCGCAGTGGAGTCACGTGGTGGTTTATGCCCTAATACCCTCTTTACAGAGGAGGCCTTTGCCGAGCAATGGGACATAAATAGGCTGTTACTTACAAGAATAACATTACTCGTAACATACTATAGGAAAACTATTATTTGCTTTATCTCTTATGTAATCTCAGTCATAATCTTGTCGCTGCTAAACGGGCTTAAATATATGAGCTGTTCAAAAAATATAAATATACGTATATACATTTTGCCAATTTAAACGCCGGATGAATTTTTGGCTTCCAGTCAACCGCTATCTCTAACAATTTACATTCTTCCTTTCATTGCTTCCAATAATTAGATTATGCCCTGTTATGTCGCTTTTACCGCTTAATGAATTCACTTTACTACCGTTATAATCAAAATTGGTAGCAAAGATTATCCGTTACGTTAATTACAAAAATGCGCACCAAGCACAGACGTTTTTTAATGATCAAACAAAATGAAAACACGTTTAATATACTTTGACGTGACGTGACTCTCAGGGCCGAATTTTGACACGCCTGATTAATCAAAAATTGTAATTATGGTCTTATCAAAAATGATCTCATTAATACCATATCAACTCGGACGAATTCATTGGAACAAATATTTATTTTATCTTATTAAAAGAAACCTTTGACCTTAGAATCTAAAGGCACTTTTTGAGGGGAAATGTCTGGCTCATTTTTATATACATCAAATGAACGATAATATCTTAAAGACTTAAATATAATATCCCTATAATTATAATATATGTTTCTATTTCTTAACATGTATAGTGTATACTAAAATGTATTAACACGACTTGACACAATACGTGAGTGTTCATTTGTTATGAAATCAAGAAAATAATACTATTTATTAAAGGTTTCGTTAATTACTTTAACTTATTCCATTTTTAATTAACATTTGCTCTGTTTTATTTAGTTTCATTGAGGCAGTTAAAGTTAGTGGCATAAATATGAGCCTCTTCAATGTTTAGATTATTTACTTGGGTGCCCGTTTCCCCGTACATCGGAATTTTTAAAAAGGTTTACATCCTACGCTTAACGCCGCGGCTGGTGACAAAAGTGCTGGTTCTTTTCTCGCTCAAATATTACCCATAACTAGTCAGCGAGGGAATGCAGCTATCGTTCTTGGCGCCATGCCGCGTGGACAAGGTTTATTACATGATATGTACTTTTAGATAGATTTCATGTTGTAAATGTTATATCAAATAATTGTATATTCTTTGTTTAAAGGTCAATCATTAAATTATTTTTCAGGCAGTTCTTAGTCCTTTAGCAATCGATACTTTGCTAATGAAAAATGCCGGTGAGGACCATGAAATGAGGCAAGCTGAAGATATAATGAGGCTTCTTGTACAAGCTATATTAATAACTACGCCAATCGGATTTCTTCTAACAAAACACTTGGGTCCTTTTCTTTTATGTAAGCAAAGAAAAGGTAACAAAACCGGTAAGCCTTAAATCACTTTATTCACAAATTCTTTGACCATTAACTATCTTGTATTTTGAATATTTTAAGCTGTATATTCACTATATAAATCTTTTGCAGATTTAGAATCACATAAAAGTCCATAGATAATTTTACATCGCTGTACATGAGGATGATGAATGTAAAAAATTAAGTCGAAGAAGCGTCAAAGAAGCCATAATATTTAATATTTTATTTAATAGAGAATATTATTGCAGCACGTTTAGTAAAAATTTTAATCTCCAGTACCAAAGATTTACATAAACCAATATAATTACATTACATTTCAATCGTTTTATGTAAAATTAAATTGTATTTAAATAATTTTAATTCTTTTATTTCAATCCTATTACATTTCAAGAAAAGGTATGTAAGTTGTATGTATTCATCATTTTGAAATTGTATAACTGTTATAAAATATTATAAGTTTCAAATAAATATTTGTAGCTTCAAATATTTCAAGAAAAAGAAGTTGGTAATGGCCAAATATATAAGATAGGGAAATTTCTTCGTCTTGTGAATTCCTTACCTACAAAAACGGCCGATACAAATTTTTACCCAGTAGGTATACGCGCCTACTCTTTCTGCGCTACAAATACACTGATAATCGAAAGACCTGCCCCCTTTTACATAAGAGAAGATACAAAAATTATAATATACTGTAATACAGATGAGTAATGTAGATAGTACTAATATTTTGCTGAGCCCTGTTAAGCCGACAAAAAACCTTCTCAGTACTGAAACTATGTATGTTTAATGTTATCAATTTATCAGGAATAATGTGAAGGTCACAAATGTCAAGGATTTTATTAAGTTTATGCATAATTTTTATACTGATGATGTTGGTGTCTTGATAATAAGATAAGAGCAAGTGATATTCTATTATGGTCCGATTAAACGTTTAGCATGTTTCATAATGTTAGAACAAATTTACTCTCCTCTTATCTGTGATAATTCTAATACAGTTACATAACGGATACCATAATATCTCTATCATCTCTAAACAAAACACCAATATAGTGATTCGTATAAAGAGAAATTTATATTATTATATATTCCTACTGATGAATAGAAATCATTCATAGACATGGAACAAATCAGTCAATTCAAGTAGTAAAGTAGTAATTTTAAAGACGGTTTTAAAATTTATCCCTTTATTTAAATTAGTTGAGAATTAATAGTATAACTATAATATTAATATCATACATAGGAAAACATAGGATTTTTTTTAAATATGAATTGCTGTAATTCACCATGCCTCCTAAATTATTCTAACTGCTATTATGACTGCAAAATTAGCGGTTCGGGAGGCGCGTAATTTTTAGCAATCAAAATCTAGCTTCATGGGGATCTAAAGACTAAAAAAGAATCACATTGTATAAAATTAAATAATACATGTAATCTCATCAAGTCTCTTTACCTAGTTGCTTAAGATTATGGATTTTCAGCTTTAATTCTTCTGGCCTTTATTTCTGCCTCCAATTTTTTCGCCGTAAATTCAAATTTAAATGCCCGATGTATCAAATGCTTATATATTTTATCCATGGATTTTGTGAAGTAGGTACAACACGAAGAAAATAATAAAAAAATCAATTAATAACGTTCTGTATTACTTACTCATTACAAGAAATTATCATTTTTAGCCATTGTTCCTATCAAAGCACTCGTTTGTAATGTAGGGTACATGAGTGACCTCGTTTAAACTCGTTGAATTGTTAATTGTTATTTTAAATACTAATTACCTACATAAGAAAAGGAAAATATCCTCTCACGAAACGTGCACGTTTAAAAAAATTAATTTAGAAGTCGTTTGAAGCCAATGCACTGTGAAATCTCTGTACATAGGTAGTAGATATTTGCCTTGCTCTTGGATCTTGGATCTTGTAATATATAGCATAGAGGATAGGAGTAAGTAGGATGTCCAGGTATAAAGGGTGTCCTTCGAAATGATTTAGATGGCGGCGCTAAGGTATTAGGCAGCGGTGGTGAATTAATAGTTACCATGGTTTTAAGTTACTACAAATTTACTCAAAAATTAGGGATTTGCATCGGTTATTTATTACTTACAGCTGGACACTTGCAGCTGTTCTCCTATATAAAACGGTTCTCCTTACCACTTTCCGCCATAGTCAATTACAGTCTAGACTGTAATTATATCTTACTCTAACATATTTAAGTTACAGTGCCATCTAGTAGAAAAAACATGAACTTAGTAGTAAGGGTTTCTTCCGTTTTGGAATCAACATATCTGTGATAGTTCAGAAAGCTTTCTAGAGATGGCAGTTTTAATTTTTCTTCGCTTAATTTTTATTTCGCATTAAAAAATAGTTTCTGTAAATTAATTATGGAATGGTTTAATTATGAACATTTGATTATCATTGAAATAGATATAAAGAAACCATATTATTACTTCATAATGAAATTCTTCATTAACATATAAATATAGCGTGTAAGCGTGTATTTGTGAATAAATTCACAAATACACGTTGAATAAATTCACAAATACACGCTTACACGCTGTACTCTGAGATAAATCTTATATTTATCTTAAGATACCTTAATTGTTTGCTTCAATTCTGATATCAAATATGAATTGTAACAAAATATATATGTGTCAAAAACTAGTATAACACAATGACATCATTTACATATCAGTATAAAATGAAGAAACAAATGAATGAAGAACCAAATTGTTATATTTGGTTACCTTAAGCGATAATTACGTGATCTAACATTGGTTATATTCTAAATATTCAACCTATGAAATGGTATGTATTTACGTATTTCTGAATAATATAGTACCTGATTCTTTCGTACAGAATAATCACTAGAGGAGAGGAGGAGTATAATCATTGGGAAAACCCAGGGGGGGGGGGGGGTGATTCTACATGTATAGGCCACGGGAACTGTAACTAATATTTTATCAATAATGTTAGTTTATGTGTAAAACGGCAGGAGGAAGTCAAGTGAGGACCTGTTTCTTATGGTACACGCATGGTTACCGAAACCGAGGATTTGGAAGTAGTTCAGAAGTAGTAGCGCACGCGTGTGGATATAAGAGCCATTGAATTGTTAGTGCTTTCATATCAAGCTTCAAAAGCTGACACAGGTATGGACAACATACAGGCACAAATCACTACGAGGAACCCTATGGGCGGTGAGCACTATTCTACATGCTAATGCCTTTATTTTTGCGAGCTCAAGGAAACCAAGTGTGAATAAATAGATTCTTTTCAAGTATCTAGTTGTTCGATGATGGAAGGCAGACATAGGATTTAAATTATTCAATTCCTGTGCATACTCAACAAAATGTAATTGAAGAGATGGTAGTCTTTCTGTGTCAAGTGCTCAAGAGTTTTGGTTCTTACCAAATTAGTCATATAGCTCGTAGAACCGATAACCGTGGGGGAAGAAAGGTTCTCAAGTGGCAGCCTCGTACTAGCCATGGGCGACGACCCCCACTAGATGTAGTGACGACCTGTGCCACTTGCACAGGTCGTGACGGACGGTCGTACGGAAGGTGGCTCCGGATCATGCTTAGTGGCAGTCTGTGTGTGCGCAATTCAATGAAAAGCAATGCTGTGGCATTGCTTTTCATTGAATTGGTGGAATTGATGTGGTGTGTGCAATGGCAAACTATCTACTTTTTAAATGTTACTAATAAACATATTTTTTTAAAATAACATATTTTTCATTTATATTTAAAAACAAAACATTGCAATTTACTTGCAAACTATAAACAATGTTCTTTATTTCATTGACTTAAGTGTTATTAACGTAGTAAGTAGTGTTAGTAAGTGTATATTTAAAAAATAAATGAAATTATGAATATTGTATAAGTTAGAACGCCTTCAGAGCTTGAGCATACGATTCACCTTTGGACTCAGTAAATTTGATCATATTTCTGAGTTTAGGACGCAATTAAAATGGCTTCCTATTCGTAAAATAAGGAAGGTATATTAGGAACTAAGTATACTTATATGAATATTTGAGTTCTAGATTCCGTAGAGAAATAAGAACGTTCTTCCGATCTAATTCAAGACCAAAGCAAGTACCTAAATTTCAACGGATGGTAAATCATTCAATAAATTCTGGTTTTACAGTTTTCTCTATTGCACGGAGAGTGGTTAATAGTACTGGGCTACGACTAGGTACAAAGATGCAGAAAAATCAAAATGTTTTTTTTAATGTGAAAAGTTGTTTTTTGAACAGCGAGCAGGCGGTTCACCTGATGTTAAGAGAATACCCCCGCCCATGAACATGTTTAAAACCAGATGGCTTGCAGATGCGTTGGCGACCATAAGAAAGAAGCCATGATTACCTCACTCACCGGACGAAAGGCAAAAGTTTAATATTTCCATTTTAAGCCGTGGTACTTCACATCAGCAGAAGCAGAAGCTGTTGCGTGGTGCCCACAACAGTACCGGTATTCATAATGAACCAAGTATGCGCTAGTATACGTATAATATATATTAAGTTCGAGGGTTTAGATTTATAAGGCTTCTTTAACTAATCTAAATATAGAAATATATTTTTAATTTTTAATCTCTAAACGAAGTCACTCACAATTCTCTTCTTTCTTTTCAATGCAAACTATACTTCGTTGGTCCCTCTTCTTTCTTTATTTCTCCTATCTTGTTACTTTACTTTGTTACGTAGAACTAAGCGGCTACAAATACTACTACATGTAAATGTGCATGTGAAGTCGTTGATGTGTACGCGCTAAAAATAGTTTTTTCCTCGTGCTTAAAGATAAGTGCTTAAAAGCCAACAGTAGCCCACGCCAAGGCAACTTTCCATAATATTTTAATTTTATATTTTGAGGTCGAAGTTTAATAAAAACTTTTTCCCTAACAATTACCACGTAAAAGATCACCGTCCCTGATTTGCGGAATTTACCTTCACTTGACATATTTATATAAAAGGTAACATTCTTATCATCTTTGAATATATTCCTTCTTGTTCTTGTTTATTTTTAATAATATTAAGGTTTTTATTAATAAAAGTAGATGTATATAATTAAATTTTGCATAAATTTTAAAATCACGCTAATAAACCTAAGCAATTATAAAAAACTATAATTAAAATAAAACAATTAGAAAAAATTATAATTGTATATTAGCAGTTAAAATTTTGCAACAATTGTATACCCAAAAAAATATTCATACGAAAAACATTAGCCATCTTTTTACTATAATCTTTTTATCGCCACCACCCATGTACTTCCATGTTTATGAAAATATTTGCTATTTTTTATATTATGTGAAAAATAAAGATTAACACATTAAATTAACAATGTTTGTTTTGTAAATACATCATACCAGTTAAATATCCAACTCATTGCTGTACATAAAATTGAAATGTGCATTAGTGCTAATGATGTTGAAATAGCGCATCATTTTAACGTCACAAGATCCCTTTAATTAATGTGACGATGTATTACAGAAGTGCGCGAGCGCGCGCCAGTCCAACCGGACTCCGCCGACAGCACGCACTACTGAGGCACATTGCCACCGCAGATATTCATAATTAAACTGCTGCAAACAACTGTGTTTTATGAAAAGAACCGAGCCTTGGCTCGCTCCAGCTCAAGGTCGCCGACGTGATCGCGTTGAGGTGCTAACAAAAAGACCACCGGTCTTTTTGTTCGACGTACTCTGAGCAACTGACTTCTGTGTTATTTTTTTTTATCAGTGGCATTTGTTCGTAGGAACCGAATATCTTATCTTTAACCCATTCCGCACTCACAAAAAGACTACTTCCGATCAAAATCGTTTCGATTGTCAGCATCAGTGAACACGAAGATAAGCCAGTGGAAAAGTAACTATGCTAAAATGAAAACTCGCGATCATCGGCTGTCTAACTTAAGTCAGAGGGGAAACAGGAGTCCGAAGTTAGATAAAAAGGGAACGAAGCACGAAGGGAGGCGAACAAGAAACAGCCAAGTGCCGGGATCACCACCCGGAGCACGAAGAGAGCGTTCTAAGCGCTCAGGTGTAGAAGCGGTAAAACTACACTTACAGGAGACCGGTGGAACTGGAAGGACCTCAAGATCAGCCACATCGGTAACGTACCAATTTATATATCCTAGATGTATTGTTAACTTCGATTATCTTTTATTTTTCCCTTATATAGTATTGCAAATGCATTGTCAAATAACCTATTAAATTAAACTATTAAATACTACGCTATATCAACGATTTCACCTTTTCCCTACCAACCAGCATAAAGCTTTGCGGAAGAGTCAGTAAGAATTTATTGGTGTACTCTCAAGTACATAAATGTTTGGCCGGGCGAGGAAAAATTACCACAATACACAAAACGCCTCAACCATGTGATCCGATTATCACATTTAGAGATCGTGACAGAAGGAGATTATCGACCGCAGGTAAATCACCTTGGGATAACACAGAATGATATGAAAAATAATGATAATAATTTCTTGCTTAAAGTTTACGGTGCACAAAATTGCTGTAGTTGACATTTATATGCGTAGCATTTATCACATGATTCTCATTTCGGAAGGAAACTTATCCTAGAACTGTTTTGGTTCGTAGAATATTTGCACGAGTTTGAATACTTGTTATTTTATTACTCTTTTACGATAAGAATGCCTTTAGAATTATAATATAAGGTATTTAAAGACATCAGTAAGGTTTTTTAAAATAAATTATTTAACTTTGAACTTGTTGACTTTTATGGTTCAAATTTATGTATCTATTCGTTGAATACTACAGTTTTTTATAGTCTTCACGTGTACTGTATGTACGTACTGGTTTAGTATACAAATAATTTAAATTCGACTTGCCATGTGGGCTGTAACACAAATAGCCATTAAAATTTATAACACTGATGTGCGGATTTTTGCTTACGATTAAAGAAATGCATCGATATAAAACTTGAGATTTTTTAAATATCCACTGCTATTAACTGCTTTATACGATCCCGATACGCCTTTATACTTCTAACAGGTATACATGTATATCAAACCTTTCACACTTCTTTTTATGTCCTATGACGTCCTTCTCGTTATTTTTTCTCTGTAAATCCTAAAAACATGATCCCCATATTTTTTTTATGTTATCTCAATGAAATATCGCTTCGTTAAATTATTTTATTTAATTAGTTTCGAGTAATAACGGACATGACCAGAGAGATCATTTGGTATCTTATTACCATAAATAACATAAATAAACCTAACATAACATTTAAACTTAGTACCTAACGTAAAATAAGATTTCTCCATCTTTTCTGGATTATTTATAATTTAAAGAACACTAATCAAAGATGATTTCCAATAAAACAACTATCATTATTTATATAAAGCTCTCTTTTCGCCCTGTTTAATAAACAGGCGTGAAGACTTGTTAGAGCTCACGGTTTACCTAGAGTACTGATTGCATAAACGAAAATGAAAGTTTTCCATGAATTCAATATTTCTAGAAGTGGTTTCTTGTTTTAGACGTAAACTGCAATCTGCAAATCTGTATTTCCAGAAATAAAATGGATCGATTTTCACAATGGCCACTTATTAAACAGATATTTTCTAAATTTCTATTCATGAATTTATATATAAATACATCCATGTTTCAAATGGACACATGGGAATCGATAGATCCTTGCTGCTTATAGCGCTGTAAAGTTTCTGAAACAGGCAAAAATAATGATGTCCGTTACCAAAAAGACAGATAGAACCTTTGCGGCCTTTCTGAACAATTTATTTATGTTTCAATTCTTGTTGTACATTTGTAAGTATGTAGGTAGGTAAGCTATAAAAATAAGCCGAGCAGTGGAAACCAACTCCACTGGAAAACACACTATAGCCTCACATAATTTGGCATAAAGTAGAATTATGTGTTTAAAATGCGGCGTTTCGCGGGCAACAACCTTCACTTACTCTGTCTGTAGAAAGAACATATATTTAAATTATTTTTGTTTCAAAATTTACCGTCGCAAGTAATATTAGGACAGGCACTAGTCACATGTGGTCGATTTGCCTTGAAAAATCTTCACGCACCTCAATCTACTACATTTTTGTTTGTAGTGTTTTATCACAGAAAATTATTTAGAAAATAAACATGAAATTGCACCAATCGGTGTCGTTTCGTACTTAACTATATATCCATGAAATGCCATCCAACTTGTTAACTAAGAACTTAGAAACTTAGTGAAACTAGAAGCAATATCCGTTATGTTGTCTGCTTTAAATTCGATGTCTCTGATGCAGAAAATATGTTGAGTTATAGTCTACTGTAACAGTTTAGTAACAGTTTATTATAGGTAACTACAAAGTGCAGGTTTTTAAGAACCATATACCTATTAGATGGTGATGAACTGTAAGATTAAATTGAATATAAATTTCTGATTGTGCTACTAATTTGTAAATGTTTCTTACCCTGTTCCGTATGTGTTGGTAGACCTTTTATCGAATAGTAATAAAATTGGCCAACTTCTATGCAAATACATGTAATAATTTTAAAGATATTTAAATAAAATATTTTCATCAAGAACTCATGGTCGTTATTATAATATCAGGTTGAAGTTAATGTAATAATCTTTACATAGAGATTTAAAAATAATAATAAACGGGCCAAGTACGAGTTGGACTAGCGCACGAAGGTATAAAAAAAACCGGCAAAAAATCAAGTCTGCTATATGGGAGCCCCAATTAAATGTATTTTTATTCTGTTTTTTAGTATTCGTTGCTATAGCGGCAACAGAAACAAATCATTAGAGAAAATTTCAAATGGCTTACTTTCACGGTTCATGAGATACAGCCTGGTTTCAGACGGACAGACAGACAGACAGCGGAGTTTATCAGGGTACGGGACCCAAAAATGGGTAAATTTGATTCTTAGTTATAATATTTCATGGGGGCTTAGGAAACTGCATTTCTAATTGGTGTTTTAGTCCAGTTTATTATTGTACGTATATTTATAAATACAAATATAATATTTACACAATGTGTTTTGCAATTTGAAAGAATAGCGAGATGTATACATAACAAGCAAATGAGTCAATGGAATAAGTTGTCAAAACAATTACTAATACTTTGATTACATAAACGTTTAAATTTGATGCCACTTTGATCCTGTATTTTCAGTGATTCGCCGTCAGTAGGTTTTCCCAAGCGTTCGTTAACGTTGAGGGTTCCCTAGAATAAACATGTATTATTATGTCGTCAATAATAATTAATTATGATGTTCTGTCCGTTATTATCTCGCAAAAATGAGTTACAAAAAAAGATGAGGCAAAAAGATTACTTTCCAATGTAAATACTACGAAACTATGTAATTAATTATTAATTGATTTAAGATATTTAACATAGTTGAAATTTTACATACATCGCGAGTATTATATATCAAAGATATATTCATGTACACATGTCACAATGCATACAATAATGCTCATTTTAATAGTTAAATGTTATGCCTCCGTATCCTTACAGACGCTCACAAACACTCGCTCAAAATCAATGAATCCCATCTACTTCAATACCTATATGTCAATTCATGTGTTAATCCACTGATAACAATTTTGATTTTTAATTTCCGACGTTTCGAACCCTTCCCAGCGTTCATGGTCACGGGACAAACTAAACTATAAAAGTTTCATTCGCGTAAAATCAGTAAATCAATACACTGACCATAAGTCCGTTCGCAAACAATGTTTTTATCACTTAGCAAATAAATATGAAACCATTTTCAAAAACATTCAAATATAGTCGTGTGAATTCAAAATTAAAGCACAGACTGTTATGTGTTAGTCAGAGTCAGTTCTTTTCTGTTATATATAAACTTCATCAATTACAAACGTTACGAGTACAGTAACTATTTGCACTTCACTAATGCTTAAATATCCTAAACGCTTTCGAGTATTGGGCTGCAAAAATATACACATATAATATACTTCTAGTTTACGGCAAATTTATGTTAGGGCGTGGTACTTTTCCGGTCTAAGCAGCCCATATATACAGCAAGAGAAAATTCTGTCCTACCACATAAAATATCAAATGTACATTTTAGTACTGACTGAATGACTTGAATATCACTTTAAATTTTTAATTTGACTTTTATTGAATGCACTCAATTGAATTAACGTATAATGAAAAAAAAATTATGTGCCGTTAAGCCCAAAACTGACTTTATCAAAGTCAGTTTTGGAGTCAAAGTCAAAAACGGGGTCTAAAGGGAACTAACTAAAAACACACTTGCATTTATAATATTATAGTAGGGTAGCGGGAACGACACATACCTTTTCGTCAAGCAGCAATTACAAGTAATACTACGTCATTCTATGGTGGTAGGGCCACGAAGCAGCCTCGGCTGTTGCACGAATGGGCAGGCTCGTCCGGGTAAGTACCACGACCTCACAGAAGACCGGTGTCAAGTGGAAGTATAATACTTTCGCGTTTCGTTTGGTGAGTGAGGTAGCCGGAGCCCAATTTTCAAAAGGTTGACAACGCACCTGCAACCCTCGGGTGTAGCAGATGTCCATGGGCGGCGGTATTCACTTAACATTAGTGAACCGCCTGCTCGCTATGTGACTTTTCACATAAAAAAAAACACTACAGATCTCAGAGATCAGGGATACAGTTCCTTAAATACACGTGACACCCAACTTTAATTAAAAAATGTGTAACCCCTAAGCATAATGTGGAAGTAACAGAACTTCTTTACTGTATTTACCTCATGATCCCAAGGATAAGGTGTTTCTTATATCATAAAACGATACCTATTTATTGATTATTAATAAAATATATAGCCTAATTAACTTTTTAAAATTATTTATTCATATAGTTATAAATAGACTCTATGAATTGGTCACTTGAATAAATGTTCATTATTTGTTTTAAATAATTTTGTTTTATTACTTCTACTACTGCTTATGTTATAATAAAATAAATTTACACACTCCATCTACTCAATATCCAACTCATAACAAGTACCACACAATCTTTTTTGAAGTATTAAAAAAATTATAAATTGGAAGATAATGTTACATTACGAAATAACTCGACAAGAAAAAATTAAAAGAAAGAAGCGAATCGATTACCCGCGATAAAAACCGCGCATGTTCTCAGTGTATTACTGATCTCGTGACAGATCTTCAACCATTATCTTTTGTCCGATAAATTTGATGAAAAACAAGTGGACCACTTGTTATAATCGCATCAAATAATTTTATACAGGGGCCATGATAAAAAATGAAAACCAGTGTTAATGTCAACTAAAAGAAAAAAAAACATTTTTTAACTTATTAAAAAGAGCTTTTATGTACTAACAGTCAGAAAAAAATTACGAATAAATGTAATAAACAAAATATAACCAAAGGCTACATTTGACTTAACATATCCTTCCTTAAAGTCTTTGATCAGTGTATTTAGCTGTATATTTAGATGATTATGCGTACAGCATTCATTATTCATCACTTAAATTGCATGTCTTTTATTTATTTGTTATTTATTTTTTAATAAAAAATATTACCTGCTCTTCTTGGATAAGTAATGCGGCATACTTGAAGATAGCTAATCAAGAAAAAATTTAGAAATGAAAAGAAGAAAGACATTTTTATAATTTATGTTGTATTGTATGCTTGAATAGCCGAATATAATTAGAGGATCGCAGCTGTGGTAGAATACACAGTGTAGTATAAGTGTAGTTTCGAACGTAAGCACGAAAACTTCATCTGTACATCTCAATCCGCCCTTATGTCTTATCAGAAAAGGCAGTCATCCTCGTGACTTCGACACCACAATTCTAAACCGATAGCGATTACAACGATAACACGATCATCGCCTTACTGGACCAGACGTGTGTCTGGCTATCCAGTATTCTTAGTACATAGTTCGCTGCGCTTTAAAAGGAAATCGGCTCGAGTCGTTCCTCAAACGAATGTTACAAATTCTCTTGTTAACTTAACGGTAAGTATTAACTAATTTCATATTTTTTTATTATTCTCAACATTTTTAACTGCGCCGTGATGACGCCTTTTGTTTGCTTTACGATTGATCAGTTTATAAACAATTTATAAATTTGAAAATCGATTATGTTTGTGAAAATACCATTGTAAATATTATTGCATTTATCTTTCTTCAGTTTTTATATGTAAACAAACTTAATATAATACTTAAATTTTTAGTTAGTAAATATGTAGCGTTTATATTAATTAGTATATTAATTAAGATAATTCTATTAATTATATTTTTTAAATTTAAATAATTATTATTTAAATATTTACATTTTATGGTGTAATTAATGAATTTTCACATATTTTACAGTATAGTATTAAATTTTAACCAAATATTTAAATATTTCACATCAAAAAAATGGTGTACAATAAAAATTGACAAAATATACATAACTATTAATTAATTTATGTAAAATTGTTTCTTTATAGATATAATTCTTCTTTTTTGTGTCTTCAAGTCGATTCGAGAATAGATTAGATTCACAATTCGATCAAGTAAATATTTTTTTTATTTATAAGTTGTTGTCGGATTTAAGTCGTGTATAATACAGGTCTGTCCGGCCCGCTAGTAATATATAAAATATAAATTAAACTCCACTTAAATATTTTTTGAGATAATCAATATTTTTAATGTAAAATAACTTAATTTTTATAATGATTTTTCCATTGCAGCATTATTGTTTTTTTTTTTTTGTTTTTTGTGAAAAAATGCAACATTGTACAGCAAAGAAAAGGCATATATATATACAAGTACTCGTTATCTTGAAGTGTTTTTACATCAAAGTACTTTTGTTTAATTTGCATCCGCACTGCTACTGATTACAAATCCTGTAAGTACTTTACACCTTTAAAGTGTTATAAACATTTTGCATATATTCGCGCCCATGCTGATTGAACTTAATCGAGGTACAGGCTAGCTCAAGCCTGTGCACAAGTTTTTCCCGTAAAAATTTCTCAACACTCGCCTTGAAATGAACGCCGTCACGCAACCTTCCAACAGTGCAGGAATACTAATTACAAAGGAAAGATTTTAGAGTTGATGTCTTATTATTATCCAGCAGTAGAGTTCTGTATAAAATTATTAATTGGAGAGCCAGTTTCTAAATTTTATTGTAATTTAAAATTTGTGTTAACTTACAGACGAGGGTTAGTGATAATCATTTGATTCTTTATTTTTAATTATAATAAATTTTAATTAAAACGAAATTTAACTAAAAGATTTATGTTTTATTTAAAGTAAGCAAAAAATAACAGAATTAAAACGATTAGAAGTATTCGAAACAAAGCTAAGAAATTTTCTAAATTTCAGAAATCTAAAGCTTACATAGAATTAAATTTTGTTTTAGCATATTAAATAAAGTATGTGTAGTAAATTAGTAATTTAATAATTTACAACAATTCTAAGTAACATACATTTTGGCATATATGTAAAAAAGTACCTTTTAATTAAATTTGTAGAAAGGTACTTTTTTTATTAAATTATAACGTAACATTCTAACCACAATCCACCGAGACTGTCAGATATTGGAATTTCCAACCAGCTTTTGCCAGAGAAAGACGTTTATACAAAAATAATTTTATCATTTAACGTGTCAATTGTATTATAATTGATATGGAGGACGTGCAAGGCAACTAGCCGCCCAATGAGCATAGTGTCATCAAATAGGTATTGGACAGAAGGCAAGCTGCCGACTTGCATAGCTCCGGCGTTACGCTCGTTAGAAATTTTTTGGTGAAGTGTTTGAAAACTGTTATTCAAAATGGTAAGTTACTTTTAACACGCAATAAATTCAAGTTATTTTTACTTTTTAAACAAATTTATTCAATAAGGCGAAATCCTTGTATTTAGTACGAGTATTTTACGAAGCCTATACTTTTACCTTATTTGGGATTACATTCAAATTTTTTTTTTCAATATTTGTTTATGTTTTTTGCTTAATTTTCCTACTCTCCGTTCAGACCTTAAATTTTACACTTGATAATCAAACTTTGTATTCTTATTATGAATTACATGTTTGAAACGCCTTAAGGAATAAAAATAATAAACGTGTTATGATTCTGACCAGTGCCAAGTTAACAGACAGTTAACATCTGTTAATATGGAATATGCCTTAATCATGATAAATATTGTAGTCATAACCCATCCTTGTATCATATGGATGCGATTCGACAAAGTCATACATGTTAATAAAACTTTGTTTATTTTGAACACGACATTGTGATTATTTTCGTATTGACATTGTCGTTGGGTCTATGCAACAGCGTCAATATTTTTAATGTCTTTTTTTTTATTGCCACGAACAACTAACTGTTCTAATTTTATTGCTTCCTTCTATTAGGGTTACTTTTATGCTCATTTAATTAGTATTTCATCATAACTATTAAACGGTTAATGACCTAATTAATAAAATAGACTAAACATGTTATATAAAATATATCTGAAGACTGCAGACATAACATTAATAATGAAAATCATACGTAATAACTTAGATCGCTATTTTTCGCAGATGGTAGGGCCACGCATCAGTTCGCTGTTGCACGAATGGGCAGGTCCGGCCGGGGAAGTACCACGACCTCAAAGACGACTGGTGTGAAGTGGAAGCGTTATACTTCTGCATTTCTTCTGGTGAGCAAGTTAGCCGGAGCCCACTTTATTAAAAGGTGGTAACGCATCTGCAACCCTACGAGTGTTGCAAATGCCAATGGGCGGCGATTTTCACTTAACATCAGGTGAATCGCCAGCTCGCTTGCCAACTTCTGGCATAAAAAAATTTAGGCATCGCCTCCCTAATCCATAATTAAAATAAGCATGGCGAAGTTACAAGATAATTATAATAAATAAAGTAATACGAAGTCAGTAGGAAGTGAATCGTACACTTTAATTAACTCCAATCAGTACACTCCTTAAAAACATCCCTTAACGTATAATTCAATTTTGTTTCAGTTGATACGATAAATGATTTATTATTTGAAATTAAACAACATTTTGGGAATTTGTTTCTTTTATCATTCATTGATGTTTGTTTTCTTCTTTCGATATCCCTTTCAACAGTTACGCATCACGTGTCACATGAGGTCGCAATGTTTAACCCAGTTGTACGAGTACTCCTTAACAATGATTTCATAATTCCATACTAACAATTATCTGAACAACTCTGAGACAGTGTTATAATGACTCATTTGTACACTTTAGTAATTATAACTATGTATCTAAGAATATACCATATGAAAAAGATCAATAGTAACACGTAGACAATAAAAACATGTATTTAGAGCTAATTAAAACAAAAATGTTTTACCACTACATTATCGATTCTATAATAATTATGTAAATTGTATACACATACGGCAGATCCTTCGTCGGTTACGCATATGTGGTAATATTGCGACACAGTTATAGCTGTTCGCTTTATAGCGTACACTGCTATTATTAAGATTACTACAGGTGATCCTAAACGCAAGTCCGATGAACCAGCCTACTTCCTACCTATAACCTAACTATTTCTATAATTTATAAAGGCATTTCGTTAGACTTGCCACCGCACTCACCGACTATATAATACACTGAGCTAGCAAAACGAATGGACCACACAGAACAATTTCGAAATGTCTGAAAATTGTTTGCTGATGGTAAGTGATCAACGCCGCCGATGAACACCTGAAACACTAGAAGGATTATAAATGCGTTGCCGGCCATTTAAGAAAGAGTAGGCTCTCTATTTCGTTTTTGTTTTAAATAATTTCTAGGATTGCCCACACTAACCAATGCAACATTATGTCGCTATCACCTGAAGGATATAGCGTATTATTACAATAGTACAAGGAAGAAGTCAGCGTAGTACTGCTAGAACAATTGAAATTCAATACTGCCACGGTCCAAAGAGTACTGCACTGATTTCGACAGGAAAATGAGAAGACCAGGAAAAGACAGACGAAGGTGCTATACGAGAAGACGGATTCATCGTGGGAACTACGCTAAGAAATCGAGGTCTCAGAGCCTTTTCAGGTTCGAAACAGACTTCAAGATTCGCCACAACATTGTGCGCTCAAACACGATTCCACAACTACTTCGTGAAACTGATACAACCTTGTAGGCCAGCAAATGCCTGCTAACATCTTATAGAACATCGAATTGCCGGGTTATAGATTGCTCAAGAGCACGTCCAAGAGACAGATGAAGATTGGTCCAGGTCACGTATTTTTTATGTGTTTAGAACACTTCCACTTCACGCCGGTCTTCTGTGAGGTCATGGTAATTACCCGGACGGATCTCCCTATTCTTGCAACAGCCGTATCTGTTGCGTGGCCCTACCACAGTTTAACCACAATTTTCCTATAAGTCTAAATTTTGTTTATTTACACACGATGGGAAACGAAGAGCTAATTCGGTGCAGGATTGGATGAATAATGTGGGCTAGAATATCTTCAGAGACTCGTACGCAGTTAGCAGAGACAGAAAACTGGTCTCCGACGACTTTCAGATACGTAGAGTAGGAGAGGAGTTCTTTCTTAGTTAATATAGGTGCAAATTTCATGTTTTTGCAAGATGGTGCGCGGGGACACGATAGTGCATATTAGGTCAAGCGAATATTCAAGATGTCGGTATTACTTTTTCTATGTTTTTGTAATTTTAATTAAAATTAAAACTGCAAAATGTATATGTAATTTCTTTTCTTTCATTAATAAATTATATACAATCACGAATAAAACCTCCAAAGTACATAGAAAATGTAGTAACCTTTCTGAACTTTCCGGGATCTAGACCTACAGGGCGGCCCAAAACCAGGTGGAGAGATGTGGTTAGATAAGATCTACATTCCTGAAACGTTACCGAAGATGACGCGTTAGATAGAGCGAAGTGGAAGTGTAAGACCAGGAAGGCAGACCCCACCATCAGATGGGAATAATAATTGCACAGGAGAGCGAGAGAGAGAAAGAGCTATGACAGTTACTTTTAGCAACCTGTTTTATTAAGGCCTGATGTCGTTAAATGGCATTTTAATAATGTTACGGAAAATGACAATGTTTTTAAAAACGTAGAATTACGTGAGAGTAGATGAACGTGAAAATTTATCATTTTTTTCAAATTAACTTCCTTAAACTGTCCGGTAACGGTAAAATTATTGAAATGGGATCTCAAACAACCTATTTTTAATTAATTCTAAATAGTTTTTAAACTATTGCATAGCTTTTATCGCGGGCTTTGAGCGCGGCGACCGAATTAAGAAATTCCGTAACGAAAATAAAACCTAACACCCCACTCCGCTTACCACGTAGCTCGGCTGAGCGTTCGCTTAACGTGTATGTATAATTGCACATGGTACGACTGTAAAAAGCTTGCACGGATGAATATTACAATATTATATTATTATCATATGATGATATGATATTTAGAGGATATCAAGTTTCAAACTTATGTTTATTATTTCAGTTACCATAAACCTATAGTTTCAATGATAAAAATTTCTGAATAACCTACATGTGTTGTAAGATGATAAAAATATTTTAAACGATATTAACTTTTCATTTATTCAATAAAAGAAATAAAATTTGTTTTCTTATCGGTCATCACGCTCAAAAAGTGTAACTTGAATTAATATAAAAGAAAAAAAAATACTCCATTAATTAAAAATAAATAAATAATTATTATTGCATAAGTTGACAAAAAATAGCTTTACCCCGGCAGTCCCGAGTGCCACAGTTAGTTTTTTAAAGAAGCATCATATAAAATATCTGGGGTACCGATAAACGAGCTGTAGAAGTTTAATGCTTTTTGGATTCTTTACAATTAATAAACGTTAGTACACAGTTTACCCGCTGACAATTTAAAGAAATAGATTATTGTTAAAATTGGTTTCAGTTTAGCTCATACAGTACAACAGTTCAATAGCGGGAATCTGAATAACAACAAATTTACATAAACGATAAAACATGTTATTTCTTTCTAGGATCACAATTTTCATGTTCCCCGAGGAACATACATGTGCTTAATGAAATACATCCATAAACCTTACCACATAATTATATTTCTCGTTATATTTCTCTATTTACGTAACAGCTGAATCAATGGTGTAACACTTCCAGCGATGATCACTTTCGTTTAAATTAGATCATTACATAATTATTAAAGTTGGTGACATGAAAATTTTTAGCTCGTAACTCTTACTCTTTGAAAATTACTTATTATTTTACAATATAATTATTATACTTGTAGTCAATGCAAATACATATTGTGTGAAAGTACAATTTACTTAGAATACGTATGCATTTTGCTTATATCGTGAGGAAACAAATTAATACATAAATATCCTATTTTCTCAAGTAAAAACACAGTGACTAGGGGCCGTTGTACTTTATCAAAGTAACAATAAATGTTGTGTCGATAGAGTTGGATGAGCAATCATTTTAGCATTGTTATGGGGTGATAAGCGCTTCGCGACAGTGTGGCGACATCGTCGCGGTCGAAGCATAACGTAAATAGCCACATGATTGGGAACTCGTGGCCGACTCCTCGTGAGTGATCATGTGATTGTGATGAGACCACTTAAGCGAATAAATACCCGACCGCTGCCGCAAACCACTACTATCAATATTAGATTGTGTTTACCATTTCAATTTTTAAAGAGGATGTAACAACAATGACAATAATGCGGTTAGATTGGTAAGTCGTAGGTTCACGCATCTCTCTTTACAAACAAGTGATGGGGAAGTCATATAGCTTGTGTGCATATAATAAAGCTTTCATGTTGTTATATTATTTTCATGTGTATTTCTTAAGTGAGTAATAATTTGCGATAACAAAATTAAGTTAATATTTGTGTAATCAATCCTTATAAAGGCGAAAGTTTGTATGTATGGATGGATGTTTGTTACTTTTTCACGCAAATACTGAATGGATTTTAATGAAACTTTACTATAATATAGCTTATACATCAAAATAAGACAAAGGCTATGGTTTATATACATATTTTATGTTTGGGAGTCAAGCCGCCATTAAATGTGTAAGTAAGTGTTCAACAAATAAATAAATTAATTAATTAATAAATAAAAAATAAATAAATGTATATCTGTCTTTCTGTCTGAATGTTACAAACGTAGTCGCGGGCAGCCGCCAGTATTATATGAAATATTGTAATACTTCAATTTTACACGTTACCTTAAGCGGCGTGACTGCTCATTCAAGTTCCTAATGCGCAATGAAACAGATCAAAAATATTTAACATAACACTGTAATTTTTAATTTTTTTTTAAATTAAAAGGCAAGAAACTACCGTTATTGTAAAGTAACCAATAAAGCCTAAATTACTGGAAATAAATTATTGATTACTACATTTAAATTTGATAAAATATTAAAATGTATATCTATATCAATAGAATGTTATGTTCATTTATCTCTAATTGTAAATCTCCTCACGTTCTATACTAATAGCTTTCAAATTTTGACACAAAGATGCATTGGTATCTCTACGGTCGTGTCATTATATAGATATGTTTTATCAAGTAATCAATTATTTAATTGTATGTATGCATAACAAGAACCATTGTTTTACCTTTTTTATTTTTTCTTTTTTATTTAACCAGACTGAGCCACAGTAACGCATGACAGCAGCTAATATATAATAAACTTTTTTTGCAAAGCCTTGCGAATTTTCATCACGTGACTGTAGTGACTTGTCGCCTTATTAGGCCACTGATATAAAACCCTGGTTTTTTTACATGAGAAGTGTCACATTTTATTTTGTAAATAAAACTTGAAGACGAATACATTATTCAACTATAAATAAAAAAAATCAAAATTTCTTTAAAGTATTTTATCATCGCTCTTAAAAACCTTACCCAAAATCTGTTAAGTCTGTTAATCTATAAAGGCTTGTGGAACTTTTGCCTCCCTCACAAGACACGGGCTTCCTGTGAGCATAAATCCGCTTTGCGTCCTTCCTATAATATCTTGAGCCAACTTCGTTTGAACCATATTTGCTAAGTTATTAAAGCCTCCATGCCTGAATGTATAGAGGCACCACTACTTTCAGTGCACTGTCGAACAGTGTTAGACGCGCGCGAGTATTTGTAGTGAGTGATATTGCGCTTAGTTTTGAAGAGTGTATTTACTTCGTTGACGGTTAAAAGATTGGTGGTAATATTTTAGTGCATATACTTATGATTTATAATTATATAAAAAGAATAAAATATATTTTAACATCCATAATTAACGCCTAATCAATACGAATAATATTGTAAAATTGTTATGAATTTAATGTCCCGTTATTTGTCCTAAGTATGTTTTAAAATTTTGAACAATTTTCTATTATTCTTTTAATGTTATCGTGATAAATCTTTAAATTTTCATTTCGTTCAATGGATCATTAAACATAAAATAAGCGTAAAAACGACTTATCCGGAGGTGTCAATTTAAATTTAGATATTATCTTTACTTTCAGGTGCGCAAAACGAGTATCCGAATGGCGGCCATTAAAGAATACCCTTTCGATCTCAGCGATTTGCAGAACAAACAAAACTGTGGAGATGAAACTAGTCAAACACCGGACCGCAGTAACCAGAATCAATCGAAGCTAAACTCCGACTCCGTGCCCGCACAGGGGACACCAGAAGAAGGGAAAAGAAAAGTGTCCATTATGGCGAATGAAAATAGCAAGGACCGGGAGAACCAGCCTTCAGAAAGGTACGTATTCATTCTATGAATACTTGACATTTTTATAATTTTTTATATTTACTTAATGGGCACTACGTTTAAGTGAAAATAATAATTGTGCCTTAGCATTCCTAAGAAAACACAGACACCACCAAATTTATTACCACCCACAAATACACAACCTACAAATTGATTAAGGTTTATTATAAACTACTTTTAGTACTGATACTTCCTGGTATCAGTAGTAAGCATTAACCAATGATTTCCTTAACGTCTCTCGACAACACGTCTGCAGATACCTGTACATTTTTGTATCCATAGAAAAAATATCTTCAATTGTACTTCAAAATATTCTAAGTTAATCGTTGTACAGTTTTCGCTATTCTTTTTCAACATTGTACCTAATTTATGCCAAAAATAACGGATTAAAAACTGTCATTGTTCCTTAAAATGTAGTATGTTGTAAATGACTTATCAATTACATAAAAGAATATAATCTTAATAAAAAGGACAATAACTTAAAAATATACTTGTACCATGTGACAAGAGCAGAGCAAACCCTCAGGATGTTCCACCTAGGCGCATATCGCTTAATGCTTTCGCACACTTCCGCGACCCTCCAGCGCTGGCCGCCTCAGCAGCCCCTTCCCAGGGAGAAACTTTCCTCTCTTCCAGGTGAGGCGCGCTGGAACATTCAGCGCGCCTTCCTCTACTCGGCCCCTTTTTCATGTCTAACGAACTCCCCCGAGTTCATTGATCAGAAGCCATGGGAGCCAGGAGAACCAGTGCCAATAAGCAGCAAGCCTCGCTGCCCATCCCCCTCCGACCGTGTTCCGGCCTTGACGTGGGGGAGGGGCTTAGTAGCCGTGGCTTAGTCACTCACGGCGAAGCTAACAGGAACCCAAACTGGGCCGGCCTATGGCGAAAGACCAGTGTCGAGAGGGTGGCTCCAAGTGGACTCATTGAGCCCACATTGGATGCTTGCGGGAGGGTGCAGGGGCAGGTCGAGGATGGTAGAGAAAGAGCTTCTCTCCCTGTCTTCTGCTACCGAGCAAGAGTCGAGGGGGAAGAGGATTATCGGTATTACGTTTGGCCATGCTCCCTATCCTCCGCGACTCGGCGGGGCTGCACCGCTGATGCAATGTTGGTGGGGCCGCGGGAGGAAAGGAGTGTCGGTATTGCGATGCGCCGTTCTCCTTACAGCAGCCGAAACGTGGTGAGCGACGGAGCCACAGACCAGGCCCGCCGCTGTGGGTTGGGAGGCTTTTTGTTAAAGTGGGAAAATGCATAAGCATACCTGCCCTAGTGGGGCCTAAGAGCGGGTTATGTCGGACTAGCATCGACTAAAACCCTCACGATGTTCCACTTAGGCGCATCGGCAGGGCCACGGGAATTCTTTTGCCCACTTCTCCAACCCTGCCAGCGCTGGCCGCCTCCCCGTCCGATACCAAATACCACCAGTAGCGAGGCGGATAAACTTATTTTATTTTTTTTTGTCTATCTGTGAACTTATTTTCTCGGTCCGTTTGTGAAACCGGCGAATTGAACAATTTGTTTATTACTATTTACCAGCCGTAATTTCCGTGGACGAAATTACGGCCAGCAAATAGTAAATATTAAACTTTACTGTTATCCGTAATTTTTCTGAGCCCTGTAAGATGAGAAATGTAACATACACGAAAATTTAAAATTCAAACTATATTTTATTTTGAAATCTGTTCAGCCTTATACTAATAATTACAAGTATAATTTTTAACAAAAAAAAAACGATTTCAATCAGAAAATTAAAAACATTGTTAATACCTATAACATTCAATGATGGCACTCGACTTCTCCGGGATGCCATCGTCAGATCCGGGTTTCCTTATCATGGTACCACCCTTGGGATATCTCCGTTCCGACAAAAAAAGAATCATCAAAATCGACTGATAAACAACGCAGTTATCCACGAACACACATAAAAAGAAATAAAAATATATACGGGCGAATTGAGAAACCTCCTTCTTTTTTGAAGTCGGTTAAAAAAGTAAATAAATTTGTTCTGAAATAAATTCTCTACGTATAGAAAAATATTTACATATATAACTTAATACATAAATATATAATATACATTATTCATCATGAACTCAATATTAGATTATCATGAACTAAATATTAAACTAACATAAATGGATGAAATAGACACGAAAATGGGATAAGCCAAACAAAGCCAATGAGTTATTACGATTTATTTAGTTTTCGTTACCTAGGAGTTTAGGAGCAAACCTGCATATTTCCGAAATAATAACAAAAAATATTTTGAAGTCATATGAAGTCTGCTAACACGTAGCGTGTGGACTTCGCTCTAACACCCTAAATACAGAGGAAGTCTTTAACCAGCTGTGGGACTTATATAGGCTGTTACTTTACTTTTAGTAAATCGCTACCATTTATTTATTTCATAACTCATGTACACAAAGAAGTATGACAGAAATGTTAATACATGAAAGAATTTGTACAGAGGCCTTGCTTATTTCGTAAGAAATTTGTTCCAGCAGACCTATGACTGGAAATTGGGTACAACTGGTAGTTAATTGTATACATACATTAATTATAATACACGTATATGAAATAACTATAAATATAATATCATTACATAAATAAAAACGTATACAGCGTGTCGTTACCACCGCGACAATAAATGAACACACATACAAAGGATAACTTTTTAAAATTGTATTAAACATTTACATTCTTTAAACATCAATATTTACCGAGTTATTAAATTTTCCCAAACAAACAATTTTAGAACACCCTTACGTATAAAACTGTAACGTAAAGTTCATTTGTAAAGGTCACAAAGCATATGAATGGGTTGAATGAATTTCAAAGAGACAAACATAATGTTAGAAGGAGAGGCTTGTAATGCTACGCTGTGGCGCGAGTTGTATAGGTGTTACAAATTTTGTTTCTTTTTTACTTAATTATTTTGTTTGAAAAATATTTTTTTTTAATTATGGATTTTGTTTAACGTTAATATTTTTATGATTATTGGCAAGTAGCGTTAGACGTGTGTTCATTTATTGTCGCGATGATAACGACACGCTGTATAAATACATAAGAGGTTCATAAGTAATATTTATATATGCAGGTTGTCTTTTCTAAAGGTGCCAAAATTCACACTGAAGGTTCAGACTCGCTAGTATAATCGTTTATTGAAATAAGGTATTTTTTCAAAACAAATTTCCACTCTATTCCCTAAAAAAACAGAACTTTTTGACAAGCGGTAGTCATTCATAAATGCGTCGTATACTTTTGAAACGAACTTGTGTGCGTGTTAGTTATGAATGATCGCGCGTAAAATAATTAGTTGCCTATAAATCACGCATTTTTTGAGATAAGTAAAAATGAATGTAATGAATTAATTACGATATTATTTATGTCTAGAATTCAATTAAAAAAATGGATACTGCATTTCTATTGCATTTCTACTGCCAAGGAAAGTTAGTGATCCTCAACTATTTTCTTAAAATCGATATAGTTTTAGATTCCCTGATTATCGGTGGAAGTGAGTTCCATAACCGACCTATATTTAAAGATTACATTCAAATACTTCTGTTTTTTTTATTTTGTACGTGTTGATATACCATGTTGAAGTTTTTATTATTATTCCACAACGAATTAAAGGAATGTTTACCTTATTATTGCCACGCTGTAGGCAACTGTGGTAGGGCCACGCAATAGTGTTTGCTGTTGCAGCGAAGGGGCAGGTTTGTCCGGGTAAGTACCACGACCTCACAAAAGACCGGCATAAAGTGGAAGTGTTATACTTCTGCGTTTCGTCTGGTGAGTGAGGTAGCCGGGGTCAACTTTAATAAAAGGTGGCGGCGCATCTGCAACCCTGCAAATGTTCATGGGCGACAGTTATCACTTAACATCAAATGCCAGCTCGTTTGCCACTTTCTCACATAAATAATGCAATCGTGAAAACATCAGCTTATCGCCTTTTCCGAACCTTTTCCGAATGCAATATAATTAGAATGGTTACTCACCATCTGTAATTGTTACGGCCTATATCGGAACAATTTTCAAACGCCGCGCCGTATGGACATGCGTTATCTATAAATACAGCGTCGTTACAACCGCGACAATAAATGAACACACATATACAGCCTAACTTTTTTTAAATTGTATTAAACATTTACTTTCATTAAACATTTACGGAGTTATTAAAATTTCCAAAACAAATAATTTAAGAACACCCTACGTATAAAACTGTAACGTAAAGTTCATTTGTAAAGGTCACAAATGAATTGGTTGAATGAATTTAAGAGATACAACATACCTACTATTAGAAGGAGAGACTTGTAACGCGACGTTGTGGCAACGAATAAAAAAGTTGTAAACGATGTTACAAATTTTGTATCTTTTTTAGTTTGTTTGAAAATTATTTTTTTGGTTACGGATTTTTTGAAAGTTTGTATTTTTTATGATTATTTGCAAGTAGCGTAAGAAGTGTGATTTCATTTAAGGTCGCCATTGTAATACCATGCTGTATATGTGTGGTACTGAATTATTTTATCTGATATTATTAGCCTTCACTCACCAAACGAAACGCGAAAGTATTATACTTCCACTTTACGCCGGTCTTCTGTGAGGTCGTGGTACTTACCTGGACGAGCCTGCCCATTCGTGCAACAGCCGAGGCTGCTGCGTGGCCCTACCACCGTATAATATAACGCCCCTGATGCAAATATCTTCACGAAAATGTTTTAATAAAAGCTTGCAAGGGTCTTAGAATAAAAATAAGCAATTCTGTTACAGTACCTACTATTAAAAGAACCATACGCATTAAAGTAGAGATGGGTACAGTACTAAAATTTTTAACCTACAATTAAATTTAAATTTTATTTACTTCTTATGAAAACGAAGGCTTTATTTTTTTACAATAGCGCCACGCTCGTTTTTCGTATAGAAATATTTTAATCGAAGCAACGACGAAGTAAAACATTCCAGAAGTGAAAATTGTCGCTGACCTTTAGAATTGGTGA